GAATCTAGCATCCAACATGTCATCCGAACATTCCAATGACTCTCCCGCAAGAAACAGAAGAAAGCAGATTGGAAAGCAGCCAAATTTGTTGAACTTATCTGGAGAGAAAACGGATTCGACATCACCATGGATGAGTCCTTAGTCAATTCTTGGATCAACCCCCACCGAAGACTGTTGGATGATGACTATAAACCCTATCTGACTTTTTCCAAACCCCCTTCTGACGGTTACTGGGATGTTCCAATCTCCCCCAATGTTAAATACTTCATTGTATTTGAGCAGTTTGACCGCAGCCTACCTGATCACAAGAGACTGCCCATGGAATTCGAAAGACTCAATCGATTCTATGCTAAACATGCTTCTTCAATAGAGAAAATCTGGTCTAATGATAGACCATCCGCAGTCAAGAACTTTAAGCCCCAGAAATTCATGAAAGCTGACTTTATCCAGTATACTCTTACAAGAAGGAATCAGGACTACGTCCACACCCAAGCTGACTTCCCGTGCATGAATCCAGAAGAAGTCTTCCTGATAGCTAAGGTGTTCCAAAACAAGTCTGAAAAGTATCCTAAGATGAAGATAGCATTTGAAAGGGCAAGCGCATTCCTAAGGGAAACTGTCTGTGACTTCGCAAAGATTGATGCAAATATTCACCCTGTCCTTGCCCAAAAGTTCGATCTACCACCAGTTGATCCTGCACCGATCCTTACTGAAGGTTATCAAGAAAGATCTTTAGGTGCAACAAACTTCCCTGATCTTGGAGTCATTTTTAAGCGAAAGCTCAATGAAACCAAATATTTCATTCCTATGACTCCCATGAATCGTCTCACAAGAAATCAAATTTAATTTTGTCGAACCGCAGTTCAATAGTCAAAACATACAACTGCCGAAGTCAAGTTCGAAATTTTAAGGAGGATCAACTGGTTGGAGAATGTCAGATAGTTTTGGTGGATTCTCATCAAGTTCCTAAAACTTGATAACTGAAGAGAAGTTAAAGAGGTCACTTAGGGGGAAATTGTTGAATCATAAAAGTGACCCTCTTGAAACTTGGTCTACCGCAGTCATCAAAGATCCGCAGTCAACTCTTTTCAGCAACCTCATCCGAAGTCATCATCAACCGCAATTTACTTTCTAGTTTACTTAGTTTAACTCTTTATCTAATTTTGTTAGAATACTCTCTATTGTCCAGTATGCCTTGCATGGCTACACATAGAGAATTGATCCAATGTAATATTTGAGTCTCTATATATAGAGCTCAATCTTTCTTATTCAAACACATCTCTTACATCTATCTGATTACGCATATTGAATCTCATATCTTCTGCTATTACTCTCTCCTTCTCACTCTCAAAGTTCACTTGAATATAACTGAATATTATCTCTCTTCGGAGCAAGTCATTCGTGACTTAATCACTAAGTTTGATCTCACTTACTAACTTGGTCTGAATGCATTCCTTGTTAAGGATCAACTTATGTGTATACTTGATATAACACTTGCTGTCATTTATATTTGCTTACATTTCCGCAACTAACTCTCTAATTATCTAATTCATTAACTTATTATTATTGTTGAGCTTTTAGATCCTTTTGAGATAAACTATTCTGCAACTATACTTGTTCTAACATTTGTTCAAGTGTGTCTCAAGTTTTTCTCTCAACACAACAAATAAGACCCAGCTGGTCAGCATATATATACTATCACGCATGCAAGTATAGTGAAAATAGTCACCTCACAGATAGCAGCTAAACACAATAGCTATCACACAGTACAGAACGGTACTATAAGACACCTAACAAAAATAAGGAAGTACCCTCTCAGTCTACACCCTAAAACCCTTAAATTGACCAAAAGTCCACCATGGTCAAAGCCAACGGTCAAAGTCCACATCAGCTGATCGTCACGTCGTGGCGATCCCTTGGTCACGTCGTGACAACGTTAACACAAAACAGTCGTGAAATTTTCCGTCGCCACATTTTGACAATCAACATGTCACGTCGTGGGAATCGCTTTGGACAACTTTATGCTTTAAGCTCTAAATCCTTCAATCTAAGCACCCAAACTTTCCAAAAGGCTATCTCCATCCCGAAGCACCATAAAAATCTCGGTTGTTTAGACATACATGTCCAATGCATGTCTTGAACACAAGCTAGGTCAAAATGAAGGGAAAATGAGATCAAATCTTATACATGGAACCCATAACTCACTAACTTTCCAGATCTAGGACAAGGGGTCACAAAGGAGTCTCAAGAACTAATAAAGTTGCCAACTTTATGAGATCCCAACACTCAAACTTCCTTAAACATTGAGAAAAGTGGACAAAACTCTAATTATAACATGCTTGAGCTAAAAAAGTAGGAACTTGAGGACTTACAAGAGTCCTAAGGCAGCTCAATATGATGAGGGAGAGGCTTGCTAGCTGAGAGGATGCACCAAAACACCTACTCTTCTTCTTCAATGCTAAAAATAACCAAAAAAGCGCTCACAATCAACAATAGAGGA